GCTACGGTACGAAAGTGCAAAAACGCATAATCGCTCCGGCCCGCCTGGTGCGTTTCAGCCTGGGTTAAAGATGAAGCTGCAGATATGTTACAGCTTTTACAAGTCATATTGCAGAGAGGTGAAAGTTCGCTTCAAAAATAGGGGCCAAATACTGGAAGCGAGAGGCAAAGTAGGAGAATCGCTTTATGAAGTGGTGGTCAACGCGGACCTGCCTATTGATGGTTACGGGGCCTGCGAGGGCACACTGGCCTGCTGCACGTGCCATGTTATTCTCGATCCCAAGCACTACAAGAGGTTGCAATTTTTTCATTAACAAAAAGCACTACAAAAAGGTCGCAGTTGTTGTTTCCTTGAAGTGCTGAGGGAAATCCACCGGGAGATTTTGGTTCTTAGTTCAAAAATGCTTGCTATTATTTTCAAGTAAATTCGTTCAATTGCTGTATGAATTTATCCTTTTGAAAAGAGCCATCTTGTTGCTACGCTACGTGCTTCACAGCTTATTTGCTGCATTCATGCGTTTTATTTTACTTTAGAATTTCAACAATTTCTTTTTTTCTTTTCCAGGTTGCCTCCTCCAAGCGAAGAAGAGTTAGATTTGCTGGATTTGGCACCAGATGCAACAGACACTTCGCGCCTTGGCTGCCAGGTGAAGCTAACCAAAGAGGACTTGCCCAGTGTAGAAGTTGTTGTTCCTTCAGAAATTCGAGATGCGAGAGCACATGACTGATCGAGTATTTTTGGATAACTTGCTGGTGCTATCGAGACACTGTGTTACGTGGTCTTCAGCAGTACGGATAGTCAAACTTCGCTTATTAATGAACGCTAGAATTTAATGCTGTTTATCGTGTGGCGGACCCTTCCTCGTCCCTTTTTCACCTCGTTTAACTGCATTTCTCATCCGCTACACTGCAATGACACTCCATGATTATGTTATACCGATGAAAATCAATACGTGTGTAATAATTGTACAAATCCCTGTGTATTGCTGGTATTTGGTACTTCCTGGAAGCTAAAAGTGCTGGTGCGCGGTGCTACGTGCTGCGCTTTCACTCCCCTCAAAGTCCACTTCGAATCTTCAACTAATGAAGCCCTCCAAACATTTGTAAATGTCGCAGTACAGTTCATTCCGTAGTTGTAAATTTTCTTTTCCGAACAAAAATGCAAAAATCCTCCCAATATTCAGTCAAAAACTCAGACAAAGTCCCGGACAAAATACTAAAAAAGTTCAAGTGTGGGGGATAACCACGTCAGTTGTTCACAGTGCCTGTGCGTGTGTGTATTCTGGATGCTAGCTTCGGCTTAC